GTCCTGCTGCCAGCGCTCGGAACGCTTCGTTACGCTTCCCTGTTTCCTGCAAACTCCTCTCCAGGGTGTACTGGAGAGCCAGCAAAATTGTCTCCTCATTTAGGACTCAGGACTTTAGAGCCATCATCTTGAATTGTGTCCTATTTCAAATCTCGGAATATGGTTACTTGGTGCCTTTAAGTCTTCCTAATTTATTGGGAAACCGTTCCTGCCCTATATGTCTCCCTTTATAACATCAACAGCAATGTGACCTCACATTGAAACACACATACACAGTAAGATCTGGTCTCGTAAAAAACTGACCAAGCATGAGCCAATTCTTCTATTAAATATCAATGTTCCGGAACAGTCTCAGTTTCTCCCAAGACGCTCAGTCTCCTAGACATTGGTCCTAAGTGGTGCACATAAAAACAAGCAAAGATGTGCACAGGACGCATCTCAACTCCCCATCCAAAGTACAGTCCTTTGTTTCACCAAAGTGTTATCGGCTCTTACAAGCACCATCAGTGCACCCTCATTGATTCCTTTGAATTGATGCAAATGTTTTGGTTTCTTCCCCTTTGGAGCTGGGATGTGGCTACAATTTAATCTAGTGCTTACAGTCTTAAAATGTTTCTGATCACTGGGAGGAGGAGAAGCTGGCTGTTTGAGTCCTCCCCTCCTGTCCCGACTTTTCCCCAGGGTCCCATGAGCATGTGAAGCTTACTGGATCACATTAAAAGAGTCCCTTCACTATTCATTTTCGGCTCTCTTCCACACCCTTTTGGTACACGGCCATGACAACAGCAGACATGTCAGCTCAGTCCATAACATTCCAAGAAGCACACATTCACACCCAGGATGACAATGGAGCCACAGCCACCTGTATGCACGTGCAGGGAGGGAGCTGCCCTTACTTCTCGATGACGTTCTATCCTTCAGCTCCCTCCCTGCCCTGGCCTCACCTACGAGAAAACTTAAAAGCCTTGAACCAACTGTGACAGGCACATTTCCAGGTGTTGGGCGTATAGCAGGGAACCAAAAGAGAAGCGCCTGCCCTCATGACGCTGACAAGGTGGTGGGGTGGACACTTAGTTGCTAGGTCGATGGGTGAGCGTGGTTTAACATGGCAACTCCTGATAAGCCCCGAAAGGGGAGCAGCAACTTACCAGTAGCCAGAACACCACAGATGAAATATTTCCTGTTCCATTCCCTCCAAACTTGTCACTTTGATGCCAGGGCTATGGCAGGACATAGGATACCAGACAGTTACTGGGACTGGGAGAACCAAGCACTTAACGGGATTTGAAGTTGGCTAGCAGGGAACTAAGAAATTTGTATAGTTACGGTTCTAACTAAGCAGATAAGTTTCAAGGTTCAAGTACATTTCCAAGCTCGGGAATTCAGACAATGGGTTAGTTAAGTATTGTACAAGAGCTAGAAGTCAGCCCTGGCTGGTGTGGCTCACTTGGTTGCAGCATCATCTCATAGACAAAAGAGTCACAGGTTTGATTCCCAGTCGAGTTTCTGCCCCCATGGGGGCCCGTATGAGAGGTCCCTGGTTGGGGCACATACAAGAGGCAACTAATTAATGTTTCTCTCTCACATTGATGTTTTTCTCCCTCTCTTCCCCTGTCTCTAAAATGAGTAAGCACATCCTCAGGTGAGGATAAAAAAAAACCCAAAAAAACTAGAAATCAGAACACAGAGACATGAACTCTACCTCACCAGGCACTGGCTGGCATGAAAGGTAGATTGCAAAGGACGAGCTGGGCTGGGGCTGGAGCTAGACAAACACTCATGCACAGGGGATGAGGCTGGGAGGAGTGAGTGCCCTTCAGGCGGGGAGAAGAACAGCCAGGCAAGCAACCAGCCAGGAAGTTTCCAACTACAAAGAGTAAAAGCACAGCCTGAGGGCCTGGTGCAGGGAGCATGACCACAGCAGCTCAAAGGAGAGCTGCTTCTAGAGACCCAGGTTGGCGAGGGGATGGTGTAAAGGGAGACCATCAGCAGAAGCTGACCCTCAGAAACAGGACTTGTGTCTCAGAACGGCCAGGATGAGACAAGGATAGTGTTAGCAGGGCAGAGGCAGAGCTCCCAAGAGAGGCCCTGGGAAGCTTTATCCAGGTGGGTACTAGGGCTCACAGGAACTGGGCAGGAGGAAACCCATCCCAGAACTTAGGATTTCGAAGAAGAGACTGTTTTGTGAGAAAGGAAACCCTCAATCACCGAACTAACCAAGCAGCAATGTTGACTTAATGCTGAAACCTATAGAATTAATAATTAGACCAAGAGGAACCCACCCGGCTGTGCTCACACATGCACCAGAGAGTTCAGGCAAGGATGCCTTGACCGGTAGACTAGCTTTGGTGGTAGAAATAGTCCTATGGGAGCACCTTCTAGATGGTTATTGCTACTCACACTTTTTACATGTTGACATGGGCCTCCTGAAAGACTCACTAGAGCCTGGTGTACTGTTTTCTGTCCCAAAGTATTCTCATTCCTTACTGCAGTCATAGAACCAGAGTACATTAGAGCAAGGACAGACTGTGGCTCTTAACTGACCCTCATAATATAGAAGGGAAACTGAGGCTTAGAGAGGGGATATGACTTGCTGAGGTGTCACACTAGATTGTGTGTCCTGATGTTGAATCTAGTGTTCTTCTCACTACACCACAATGACTATGTTGTGTGGCCACCCTGGAACCCTTCTATGGAGTATAGAGGTTCTTGGCCTATTATCAGGTGCTTCACTATTTGTGCAAGTTTGTTCCAAGTTGGCTAATTTACTTTCTCTCAATATTAGACAGGATTCAAGGTAATCACTGGGATTCTCACTTGCATCTAGTTGTACTTTCTTGAGTGCAAGATAAAAGGGTGGAATTACAGCTAGCATATCAGGGATCACAGTAAGGCATGGCCGGGGGTGTTGGGAACAGATAGCTTTAAAAGGCAATGGCTAGGAGACAGTCCTCATCTTCTAAAACTCACATTGAAAAAGATGAACACATATAAGCCTTTTTTCCCCCTTCATGTTGCTTAATTTTCTCTGGAGCGTTAAGGAGAGGCTTTCTGTGGAAGGGCTAGGCTTGTTTAGCTTTACTGCAGTCAGATGACATTGGGGGAAGACTGTCACCGGCCTCCTTAGGAAAGGAGAGGGCTCCAAGATGGGCTGACCTTAAAGACCAGAATTTCGTGGTTTAGCTTTGCCAGGATAACTTCGTACCAACTCCATTTATAATGGGATATTTCTTAGAACAGTGGAATTTAGGAGAAATTTCAGGGATGGGAAAGTGAAGGAAACTCTAGAAATGAATAAATTCATAGTGAAAAGGACTTAAAGTTCATCCAGCCTCTGATCCCCAACCTTAGAACCATGAACCCCCCGCAGCCTGAGGAGGGATGGCAAGAGGGGCACAAATCCATGTGTGGACCCCCACATCACACACACAAGCACACACATGTACATGCACCTATAATTTTGTAAAATATAGGCCTCAATCTTTAGTATTTATCAGAATTCCCTGGGGGGCTTGGTGAAACAACATAATCCTGAATTCCAAACCCAACGATTCCAATTTTGTTGACCTGGGGTGGAGCCCAGGAGTCTGCTATTTTAGAAGCATCCGGGGCTGAATATATACTGACTCTGTGGCAGTAAAACGCAAATCCATTTTTTAAATTATCAACCCTGAGGTTGCCCTGGGTGATATTTATTCTTCTACAGAAGAGACACTAATGTTCAGTAGCTATAAAGGGTGGGGTGGGCAGTCCTTGGATTTGGGAAATGGAACTTTCTCAGAAAGTTTGAGAGCACTGATCTAGCCCAATTCCTCCATTTCAGAGATACAGCAATGAAGACCCGAGAGGTTAAGTACTTTCCCCAAAGTCACACAGTCAGTGACAGGACAAAGAGCCCTGGTCTCCTGTCTTGGGGCCTGGGAAGCTTTCTAATCCCACCCTCACCCAAGGGGAAGCATGATCAGGTTGGAAGGCAGCCATTCTAAAAGGCCTATGTCTTAGACATAAGGTGACTTATTTTACATGTACCAACTAGGAAAGAAGTAATTTCAGTTTTTTTGCAGCTGCCTTAATGGGCAGCTAATTCTTTAGGTTCGCCCCCTCAGGACAGAACAATTTTAAAAATATGAACCTATTCATTTAATCTATCCTTTTCCTTTGATAAACAAAGTTCAAAAAATAGCTAGAAAAAAAATGCCCTGGAGTTTCGTTTCCAAAACTTACAATAAGCTTGTTCTTTGCAAATGTTCACTAATCACAGTATAATTCTACAAGATGGTTTGCAATTTGTCTTTGAAATCTTTTTTCAAAGGGGAAGGGAGAGAGAAAGAGAAGGAGAGAAACATCCATCAGTTGTCTCTCACACACCCCCAACCAGGGACCTGGCCCCCGCCGGCCCAGGCATGTGCCCTGGCAGGGAATTGAACTCGTGCCCTTTCGGTTTGCAGGACAATGCCCAACCCACTGAACCACACCAGTCAGGGCTGAAGTCTTCTTAAAGTGTGTGTTCAGCTTTATAAAGATAGCTGTCCATAAATGGGGCACATTCTCCTCTGAAAGTGGATAGGGTGCATTTATAAGTAACAGGAGTCACTTGTATACATGAAGTACAAAATAATGCTGAGGTGCAAAAGTCTCTGTACACAACAAAATTGTTACGCACGAATTACATTTAGCAGCAATTCTATTAAACTAACTTAATTTTTAAAATTAGCTACTACTACTGTCCTCATTTGGCAGTAGCCTTTTGCTAGGAATGAGTAAATCTATTTCTATATTCTGCTAGGTTGATTAATAAAAAATATTTATTACACAAATCCTTTTTGTTGACAAGTTAAAATGGAGCCTCATCTTTCATATCTCCCTGATGATTGCCACCTTGTGAGATTGAAAATACTCATTAAATTCCATCACCAGACAGGCACAAATGAGAGGGTGATTGTTTTTAAGCATGTGAAGGGAATCGTTGGTAAACTCATTTGTTTGGATATCATTAACAGAACAATCGGTGAGGATCTCCAGGGGGTCCTCATGACCTTTGCTCGCAATCTCTTCATCATCCATCAAGAAATATCAGCACCTAATATGCAAGGCGAGACCAATTTTAAGGTGAGGTGTTAATTAACTAACGATTTTGGTTGATTTCTATACAAGGGCTGAAAATACCTCATGCTGTATTGTAAGCAAGTGCTAAACCATTTTTTTATTGTAAGCAGTACAGTTTTACAATGTGCAGGGTCAATATTGTAAGGTGCTTGCTGAACCCGTTAGTTAAATTTAATAGTTTGAAACTTTTTCTTTGAAATATAGTAGATTTATTTTAACTTGCTACCATTTCCAAACCCAGGCTTATAATACAACAGGGCTTTCTGATGTTGGAGGTGAAATTAAAACATCACAGTGGAGCCAAAACAGAAACTGTCACAGCCCAAAATTCTGAATATAATCTACCTACACTTCAATGTCTGCCTAGGGATTCCTGGCAAGCCCAAATTTCTAGAGGAAGAGAAGTTCTGAGGCCAGGAAGAGCAATGTGTTCAGGGAGAAGCAGAAGAAAAGCTCAGCACACATGTAAGCCATGTACTCCACCCTCTCCAACGCAGGGTAAAGATTTCATCATTAACCTTTGAGACTTCCAAATGGCCTTTAAAGACATTCAGATAATCCAGTCATGTATAATTGACTAGATGTCTCTAAACTCTAGAAAGCAGGAGCAAAATCTGTACAAGTTTTTGAAATACCAGCTGAACAGAAATGAACATTTGGTATTGATTTTCAAATTTTTTATCTGATTTCCAGCCTGAGCCTTCATCATGTTTGAATGGGTCAAGTAACTCCAAAGACTCAGTTGGAACCCACATCATTTTTCTCTTAAATGGGAAGACCAACAAAAGCGTGATAAGAATATAATTTTTAATACATTTTTTCCCTTGAGCTAGGGCCTGGTCCCTCTAGTAATAGTAATGATGATAATAATCCTTTACTCTTCCATGTGATTTTATGAGTTGCAAGATTGACCATTACTTTTCCCACAACATGACTGAGAAGATTCAATAAAAAATAGACCCAGTGTTATATCAATTTTCACTGGTCCTAAAAGATCTATGCTCATAAAATACTTAGTAATAAATTTAACAAAGTACTAGATCTATCCACTAAAAACTACAAAGCATGATAAAAGAAAGAAGACCTAAATAAATGGAAAGATATTCTCTACTCATGGACTGGACGACTTACTCTTGTTAAGATGGCAATACTCCAAAAATTGATCTACAGATTCAATACAATGTCTATCAAAATCCCAACTGGCTTTATTGCAAAATGTACAAGATGATCCTAAGATTCATGGGGAAATGAAGGGACACAAAATAGTCAAAATAATCTTGGAAAAAACTCAAAGTTAGTGAACTCACACTTCTCAATTTTAAAACTTACTACAAAGCTACGGTGATCAATCAACACAGTGTAGTACTGACATGAGAATAAACCTCTAGACCAAAGGAATAGAATTAAGAATCCAAAATAAACCCATACATATATAGTCAAATGATTTTCAACAAGGATGCCAAAATAATTCAATGGGAAAAGAATAGATTTGTAAATACAACAGCAATACTTTTATAAATACAACAGCAATACTTCCTTTAAAATACATTTCTTTTTACTATTACAAATGGATATTCACCTGCCTGAAGATGCCCCTCTATTATACACAGCATACACAAAAGTTAAGTAAAAATATATCAGACACCTAAATGTAAGTGCTGAAATTACAAAACCTAGAAGAAAACATAGGTATTAATCTTCATGACCTTGTGGTTAGCAATGGTTCCTTAGACATGATACCTTATATGCAAGAAACCAAAGTAAAAATATTAAGTTGGATTTCATCAAAATTAAAAACTTTGTGCATCAAAGGACACTATTAAGAAAGTGAAAAAAGAACTTACAGAATGGGAGAAAATATTTTCCAATCATATATCTGATAAGACTCCAGTGTCCACACTATATAAATTACTCTTACAACTCAACAATAGAGAGAGAACCCAATTTAAAAGTGAGCAAAGGGATTTTTCACAGCAGGTTTGCCACCAGGACACAGATGTCAGAAAACCACCACTAAATCAAAGCCAAAAGGGAAAGGAAAAGATTCACATCCACAGTGTGGCCATAGGACACGTAGATTCCAGCAAGTCTACCACTACTGGCCATCTGATCTACAAATGCAGTGGGATCAATAAAAGAACCATCGAAAAATTTGAGAAGGAGGCTGCTGAAATGAGGAAGGGCTCCTTCACGTATGCCTGGATTTTGGATAAAGTGAAAGCTGAACACGAGTGGAATATCACCATTGATACCTCCCTGTGGAAATTTGAAACCAGGAAGTATTACACGACCATCATAGATGCCCCAGGACACAGAAACTTTATAAAAAACATGATGATGGGCACAACTCAGGCTGACTGTGCTGCCTGACTGTTGCTGCCGGTATTGGTGAATTTGAGTCAGGTATCTTCATGGATGCGCAGATCCCTGAGCATGCCCTTCTGGCTTACGCACTGGGTATGACACAACTGATTGTTGGTTTTAACAAAATGGATTCCACTGAGCCCCCCTACAGCCAGAAGAGATACAAGGAAATTGTTAAAGAAGTCAGCACCTACATTAAGAAAATTGGCTACAACCCTGACACAGTAGCATCTGTGCCAGTTTCTGGTTGGCATGGCAACAACATGCTGGAGCTAGGAGCTAACATGCCCTGGTTCAAAGGGTGGAAGTCACCCATAAAGATGTCAATGCCAGTGGAACCACGCTGTTTGAAGCTCTGGATTGCATCCAGCCACCAACTTGTCCAACTGAAAACGTCCTGCATTTGCCCCTGCAGGATGTCTACAAAATTGGTGGAATTGGTACTGTCTCTTGTGGGCTGAGTGGAGACTGGCGTTCTCAAGCCTGGCATGCTGGTCACCTTTGCGCCAGTCAACATTACAACTGAAGTAAAATCTCTTGAAATGCACCATGAAGTTTTGAGTGAAGCTCTTCCTGGAGACAACATGGGCCTCAAAGTCAAGGATGTGCCTGTTAAAGATGCTCACCATGGCAATGTGGCTGATCACAGCAAAAATGACCCACCAATGGAAGCAGCTGGCTTCACAGCTCAGGTGATTATCCTGAACCATCCAGGCCAAATCAATGCTGGATGTGCATCTGTTCTAGGTTGTCACAGAGCTCATGTTGCTTGCAAATTTGCTGAGCTGAAGAAGATTCGTCATCATTCTGGGAAAAAAGCTGGAAAATGACCCAAAGGTTTTGAAATCTAGTAGTGCTGCCATCGTTGATATGGTTCCTGGCAAGCCCATGTGTGTTGTGAGCTTCTCTGACTATCCTCTTCTGGGCTACTTTGCTGTTCATGACATGAGACAGACAGTTGCTGTTGGTGTTGTCAAAGCAGTGGACAAGAAGGCAGCTGGAGCTGGCAAAGTCACTAAGTCTGTCCATAAAGTTCAGAAGGCTAAATGAACATTATCCCCAACACCTGCCACCCAAGTCTTAATCAGTGGTGGAAGAACGGTCTCAGAACTGTTTGTCTCAAATGGCCATTGAAATTTAATAGTAAAGGACTGGTTAATGATTACATGCATCGTAAAACCTTCAGAAGGAAAGGAGAATGTTTTGTAGGCCATTTGGGGTTTGTGTGTGTGTGTGTGTGTGTGTGTGTGTGGCAGTTTTTAAGTTATTAGTTTTTAAAGTCAATACTTTTTAATGAAAGCAACTTGACCAAAATCTGTCACACAATTTTGAAACAGAATTTTTCTCATAAGACAAAGTTCAATGAGGGAAAAACTAAAAAAATAAAAGTGAGCAAAGGATCTGAATAAATATTTCTTCAAAGAAGATGTACGAATGACCAATAAGCACATGAAGGAATGCTCGACATTATTCGCCACTAGGAAAATGCAAACCAAAACCACAATAAGATACCATTTCACACCTAAGATGGCTACAATAAAAAGACAGACAATAACAAGTGTTGGCAAAAATATAGAACCCTCTTATATTGCTGGTAAGAATGTACAATTGTGACAGTGTTGTGTATTGTTTCACAGTTCTCAGAAAGTTTAACATAAAATTACCATATGACCCAGCAATTCCATGCCTAAGTGTATATCCAAGAGTATTGAATATATATGTTCACACAAAAGCTTGCACATTAATTTTCATAGAAGCACACTCATAATAACCAAAAAGTAGAAACAACCCAAATGTCCATCAACTGATAAATGAGTGAATTGCATTATATTTATTATATGGCTAATACTCCATACAATTAATACATAGGTACAAATCTTCATGACCTTGTGGTTATTGTTTCTTAGATATGATACCTAAAGTACAAGCAATCAAAGCAAAAATAGATAATAGATATAATGAAATATCATTCAGCCATAAAAAGAAAATAAAGTTCTGACACAGACAACATCATTGATGAATCTTGAAAACAATGCACTAAATGAAAGAAGCCCAACACAAAAGGCCACATATTGAATGACTCCATTTATACAAAATGTCCAGAGTAGGCAAATCAATAGAGACAGAAAGTAGATTAGCAGTTGCCAGGAGCTAGTAGAAGGGTGGGAGTGGGGGAAATGTGGAATAGTTGCTAATATATATAGAATTTTTGTTTGAGGTAATGAAAATGTTTGGAATTACATAGTGATAGGTGCTTGTGAATATATTAAAAAACCACTAAATTGTACAATTAATAAGGGTGAATGGTATGGTATATGAGTGCTACCTCAATTTAAAAAATAGCTAAATAAAATAAAATTGAAAGGTGACATTTTTTTCCCAGAAACCAATAGAAATAAATACTCCCATCATCCTACTAGCCATCATTTTAGGGTGACTAGACCAATGATTCTCAAATTATTTGTTTTGTTTTTTCCAACCTATAATGGATCAATATTGTTAAATACAACAAAAATGAATTATTAGAAAAATTAAAAAGTTA